AATGTCATATTTCATAAATCTTATATATTGCCCGCCTTTGTCCGAGGCAAGTTCCGTGCCTTTAGAGAGCATTAGTTAAGAATATGTTTTTTTTTTTTAAGGAAGCCTTTTATTTTTCTTATTCGTCCGCCTTTTATTCTCTTGGACTTAGTAATTTTACCAAATTATGATTTAAAACTAACTTTTATAGGCATGATCTGATTATCAGATATATTGAACCGACTTGGGTCGGAGCATCATTTGCACTGCCTTAAAGGAAAAGGGGTGTCTGCCAAGCCAATAAATGCCCTTTTGATATTTAGATGGCTCATTCAAGTACTGACCATTGAGGTTGCTGCAAGCGAGATGGAATACAGGTTTTATTAAGCTGATGGAATTGAACGAAATTTGAACTTTGACCTACCTGTGACCACATCGATCATACCACCAGGCGCCATGCTTCTGCTCCGCACAATTTCCGTCGCTCCTGTCATTATCAACGTCATGAGTGGAAAACTTTCGGTTTCTGGCAAAGTACAGGGCGTCGCTCGCATTGCCCGTGTAGGTGCCCAAAAGTTTCAGAGCGTAGGCCTCGCTTTCGCTGCCAACGCTAAAGTCCGCGTAGCGGGCAAAGTAGGTGGAATTATCAAAGGTCTCCAGATGGATGTACAGCTCCTGGGCCTGGGCCATGGTCAGCCTGTAGAGCTTCTCCATTCCGATAAAGAATTCGCCTTGCAAGCTGCCAAAACCTGCACGATAATCGCTCCAGTTTCGATAAAAGTTCTCGCTACCATCAATGCGACGCTGTATTACGGTCCAGCCTGGCCCAGCCAGTCGAGAATCGCAGAGCACATCAAAGGGATCGATGCCGGGTGCTCGTATCTTGTGTATATCGGAGGAGTTGCCAAACCAATGACAATTTGTCGATTGCAGCCTATCGACTTGGATCCTGTACTCCGATAACTGTGCCTGCACCTCATGCAGTTCCGATTGTAAATTCTTGATTTCCGATTGCTTTTGCTCGATTTGCATCTGGTTTGCATCGACTTGCAATCCGAGTGCGCTTCGTTGATCCAACATTCTCTTGACTTCCGCCTGCAGCTCGGCAATTTGTTGATCCTTATTCCTCAGATTATTTTCCAGCTCCTGGACTTTAACGTTATTCCAGTGAATTTCCGCATGCAGCTTCTCCAACTGCTCATCTTTGCTTTTCAGTTGGGATTTGTAGCTCTCGATCTGTTCCTTGGCTTCCTTCGCATCGGACAGCAGCTGCTGGATTTGCTCCTCCTTCTGTGTCACGTTCTTAGCTGTTGCCAATTGTAGTAGCTCATTCGCCTGAGCCGCTTCCTGCAGCTGCTCTATTTGAGCTTCCTTTGTCTTGGCCTGCAATTTGCAGCTGTCCAGCAATTCGGCCTGTTCCTTGGACTCTTTTAGCAGCTGCTCAATTCGAATGGTTTTATCCTGAACTTGTAGCTTGTAGGCCTTCAATAGCTCATCCTTCACATTGCTGTTGTTTCTATGGGAGTTGCACAAATCCTGCTGTTGCACTAGTTGGTGTTCCTTCTCCCTGAGCGCAGTCTCCGCAACGGCGAGCTTTATTTGCACTTGATCATATTTGGTCTGTATTTCGACCAGATTGTTCTCTTTATTTTGTATGACCTCATCAAATCGATCAATTTTCTCCTTTTTCACGGCAATTTCCTGCAGCAACGGTTGCATTATTCCAAAACATTTAACGCTGAACTCCGACTTCAGGTTTGTCGCTTGCAAGTCCTTGACAACAATCTTAAAATAGGATTTTAGAAATAGTTTATATAAACCTAATTATAATTTAACTGAATATCATACCACTCCGAAAGCGAGCACCATGGTTTGTATCAACATAAATAATAAAAGAATTTGTTTGAAAAACATTTTTAGCTTGAGAATGTGACTGAAGCGCAAATGAACTGAAACAAAACTAAATTTCGCAATCGGCCTCAGCTGCTACCAAGGGTCTAGAAGCTGCGCTTTGATATACCCTGTTTTAACAAATGTGTGTAAAAAGGGTATCTTCATATATGGGGATATACGGAACAGTGATAAGGCAATTCTATTATATATATAAATAAAATAAAAATTAAAAATATATATATATATGTATATTTACGTATGTTAACAAAGTACAAAATAGAATGATAGAGTTCACTTCAACTTCATTTAACCAATATGTTGATTCCTATTTTCTGAAGGCTACAGGGTATCAGCTTTAATAGCACTCTAGACCTAATCAGTTTTCTGTTTTACTTTTTTCGACAGCTTACTCATTCATATTCAAAATATATTTATGCATATGTTTGTATACGTATGTTTGTATACGTATAACATATGCATATACTGATAAGGAATGGAGACTGTGTGAGCGTGTCAGAGAGAAGAGAGAGAGAGAGAGAGGGAGAGAGAGAGAGAGGGAGAGAGAGAGAGAGAGAGAGAGATAGAACGCGTTTCTGCGCACTTCTATGTTTTATATTATATTATATTTATATTACAGATTTCCATATCATGTGCTATGCCCAGATCACATCCGTTAAAAATGTTAACTCTCTGCATGTAAATGTATTTGGGTGTTATTTTTGAAGTGAGATTCAATTACAAACATGACTAATTGTATAAAGTGCATAAATATATATAAAAACGTGATCAACTGGAGTTCTCTACATAAATAACGAACTTCGTTTCATTATACTTTGAAAATGAAAAAAAGAAACGTTGCTCAAAATCGAACAAATTCATCGTGCAATAAAATTAAAAAACTTTTATATTACAATATTTTTTATAATGTTATCAGAATTTGAGGAAATTTATTTGTTTTTGTGAGCGTCAAAAATATTCGGTTCTTATCGTCCAAACATTTCCATAGCCCTACAAAGGCGTTGGATCCAAGTTCAAGTTTACAGATTGATAATCTTTAGCTCGATGCTAAAGTGCATAAGAAATATGAAGTACGCCCAAACTTGAAATTGTCGCAGACCAAATACATTTTTCAAAATATTAATTATATCAGCTTTCAAATATAGGTATAGTATGCTGATCCCATACCTGCATTACTTATATTCTATACAAGATTTGTATTTTCAGCCATAATATAATTAACGAATTAAATTCAACGTAGAATAATGAAAAAAAATGGCTAATTGGTGATCATATGCTTTGAAAGCTAGACAACTGATAGTTTTAGTATAGTAAACAGATGTGGCATAAGTAATGGTTAAATCCAATCTCAAGTACAAAAAAATCTTGAAAACTGCAGGAATGAAACATTTTTGTTTACCATCTGATCTCGAGCTCGAGCTCGTGTTTAAAGATAGTTGCTCAAATATTATGTGATATGTGTATCACACTTTTCATCTTCAAGCTCGACTTTGAGGCTCTGCTATATACAAGATTGAAGAAATGTTTTCACGCAGCGCATGGTAATGATTTATCTCTTTCGGCCTATAATTTAATTAACATTAAACTCGTTTTCAAATATCTACATGAATATAATTGAAGGTAGTTCGAGTAGATTGTTAGAGACATCTAAAAGTTGCAACATAAAACTTGGCCCGGGCAAGGCCGGAAAAAGCCCGCTAGTATTATGTGATGCATGTACCTACTCATATGTATGCATAAAAGATACCCCAGCTAGCATCCAGAGACTTGGGATGCGTCAAACTGCTCGCGAACAAAGGGGCAACGCTTGCGTGTGGCAACACTCGATAACATAATTATCTGTCATAATCAGTAGGCGTTGAAATGTGCAATTTCAAGTGCAATTTAATGTGCACCAACAGCCAACAGGCAACAGCAACAGATAGCACAAAAGTGCGTGGCGTGTGGCGGCGGCGACGGCGGGGGTGTCAGGTGTTGGCAGGGTTGCCAGGTTGCCTGCTTTGGGGCGCTGTCGTCTAAAGCATTCAGTTTGTGTTCTGAAAATTCGCATCAGATTATTGCAATAAACATAATTATGCGAGCTGCATATGATTTTTCAATTAAACACATGCAACACAACTCCCCAATTGCCGGCGACGGCGGCAACGGTTGCTGCTGCCACGGCTGCTGTTGCTGCCACGCGGGTGGTTGACGCTGACGAGGCAAATAAAAAGCCATCCACATGCATAGGCAATGCAAATGTGCAGCAATATGTGAGTGTGTGTGTGTTTGTGTGTGCTGCTGCTGCTGCTGCAGGGGTGCTGCAGGGCAGAGGAAGGCCGCCAGGGTCTGGGGCTTCTGGTTATGGGTGGGCGAACTGATGACATGACCAACCAATTGCTGCTCGTTGCGGGTGTTTGTAATGCATATTTGTTAATTAAGTGTCGCATGTGGCTGTCGCTATGTCTCTGCGTGTGTGTGTGCGAGTGTGTGCAATTGTAACGGTGCTTAAGTGGAATCAATGGATTGTAATGCACAGATAATCATTTTTAGCAAAAACACAGCCCATTGCAAGGCCATAAGCAAAACCCCAACCCCGATCCCCGCACCCAACCCTATGCACAGCCCTTTATGCATGCTGTGCTGCACGAGAGAGAGACAGGGAGAGAGAGAGAGAGAGACAGTGGGATGCTGGGGCAGCTGTCATTATGCGCGCGTATTTTGGAGAGCCTTGCCATATGCTGGGCGTTGCCACTCTGCTTGTCAATGACAAATGGCACAGCGTGAAATAACGGGACAACGGCAGCAATTGCAATTGCAAATTTCAATTAGACGAGGTGTTGATGCAGAAACTGAATTTTGTGCCTTCCAATTTTTGTATTTTGTATTTAGAATTTTAAGCATGCAAGTACTTGACAAAGCTCTAAATCACACTAGACGCCAGACCCTTCAGATACCCTCGCAATTCGCAAGCTCCCTCTTAATTTGTTCGGCGAATACTCCGCGAACTCCTTGAAATTGATAACCTCTGTATATTTAATGACAAATTATTATTATACCAAAACTAAAGCTTTTTTCTTAAGAAATATTGAACTGTTCAAGGGAATAAAAACATGTAAAATGTTGGAATGTAGTCCCAAGTCTTAACCGATTTCTGACATTACAAAACTTTAGCATCTTTCTTGCCAAAATGCTCAAGCTTCTGCAACTAATCCAAAATATATATTATTTCCACTTGGGATTGCAGCTTGGTTCTGGTTAAACCCTATACAGATAACATTTTGACCAATTGCCTAAATAGTTGGGAATGAAAAGCTTGCATTAAGTTCAGGTCCTTGAAAGCGAAATTATTTTATGTTTGACAAGTCGGAAAGAAGCTTAAGATAAGTAAGAAATACACATATATGTAAAACGCCTGCAGTGCCAAATGGATCCACCCAAAATAAAGAATATTATAATAAGAAATTAGCAAAAGTAAACAACAACAATAAATGAACAGATGTCATTGGGTTAGTGTGATATTTGTCAGGAAGGTGGTCTCCAGTTCGTAGTTGTCTATTGTGTACTTGCCCTTGGGAAATGAACAGTCCTGTTCGGGCAAATTTGACTTCTCGTTGACGAACTGACAGAATCGCTTGTTCACAATCAACATTAAGGGTCCTATCATTTTGGTATCCTCTTTGTAGGCGTGCACTAGCAGCGATACCTGAAGAGTTTAATAAGATATAATACATATATATAATATATTATATATAATTTGGAAAGTGTCTTACCGCCTGCTCATTACCCATATTTCTTTTAAATTCGATATCCCCGTCCAGGGTATACTTGTTGCGTGCCACATGATTTGTGCGCAGCGTGCCCCAATCGAACAATTCAACATCGACTTCGGACTTAGACATATTTTTGAACGAGTTAAGCTCGACGCTATAGCTCCTGTCCTCGGCCCTGGCGTACACCAGCAACATCAGTCCAACAACCAACAGGCCCGAGAGATATTCCAACTAAATTAACGACTGCTTCACAGCCAGCACACTCTTTATATATGAGTCCGAAAAGCCCAAGTTCTTATCTTGCATGCAATATCATTGTTTCTCGAACCTTAAACAGTTGAATCTTGTTTATAGATTGACCATATTATATATATATATTATTATTTATCTGTCAAATTCACAATTTTATAGCTTTATAATATAGTAAAGTTATATAATTGTATATTTCTACATTTAACATGCTATGGATTGTACACCTTATGCGATTACAACCACAATTTGTTAATACTATTATCATAATAATGTCTAGGTCAAAGTTAATGAAAGCTGACCTCATTCATCTCTATTAATAATACTGTTTGCGCTGACCAACTTACTGGCTGACTAACTACCTGACTAATTGGTGATCAACACACATCATAAGCAGAAATAGCCGAAGCTGAAGCTGAAGCGGCCTCAACTATGAAGGAGTCAGCGACTTGAACAATGCAGGAGGCAGTGGCTGTGGCTTTGGCGGATTAGGTGACATCAATAATAACAAAATGGTACGTATTTTAAACATAATATATAAACTAAAAGTAACATTTATTTCCATCGTATGCATGCGTTTTGATTTGTATGTATGTATTTAAATATGTGATTCATATATGTTTTTACTTATTTAAGTGAGGTTTTGCAAGCAAGTTGCGTTTTTAAGCTAATATATCTTTCTATGCTTTCAGTGTTTATATAAAAATGCTTCTCCTGCCTACTGATAGATGACGCTAATATGATCGTGTGTGTGAAGTTTCTGATGATACGTACGTAATTCAAGTATATATTAATATAAGTAGGTCCAATAAAGTTGTCATTATCATTTATAGATATGTATTTCTAAAGCAAGGTGCAGGTAAAGTAATTGTGGCCCAGTTTACAATAAATAATAATATAAATTTTCGCATTTAAACATTTTATTTTTTACAAAAAAGTACATAAAAAGCGTAGCTGCATATTAAAATTGCTTTTCCATAATTAATTTTGGCTAAAATTTTATTTTATTTGAGCTTGGAACGTTACCAACTCCACCTATTTGAAATTACAGCCTAAAATCACCAAAATTACCTACCCCCTTAACTCTGCTGGGGCTACTGCCCCCGCTGCAGGGCGTGCACAGTCAACCGGCTCTTAACTTTTCAACAAGACCGCCTGCCTTTTGGTTGGAATTCTCCAAATATTTTATGCCAACTAATCTCTTAACACTCTATTGAGACATGTAAACTTTTAATAGCATTTGCTGTTCCAAACTCTGTTCAGCCGCCCTCTACTATTTGGCGTTTGAGTCTGGGGTCTTGGGTACTCCTTGGGCTTTGGCTTGGCTTGGCCTTGGCGCTTGTCCCTTAAGTTTTTGGCGCTCGCTGCTTGTTTTATGGCCTGCAGCAGTTTTCGTGTTTGAACATCAAAAGTAATAAATTCATCGAACACAAATTTTGCACGCCAGCCAATGGTGACGGCAGGTGGCAACGCCAAACGCCGTTTCAGACTCGTTCTTGTTGTTATTGTTGTTGTTTTTGTTGATGTTTTAGGTCGCGCCTTTGCCGTACTCAATAACTTCCGGCGAGAGCCCCACTCACCCATCTACCCGCCCCCGCCTTGCTTTGTTGCTGCAAAGTTATTTAAGTAACTGTCTTGGCTTGTTTTCGCCCTTACATTGATTGTGTTGCCACACTAGAATGGGCAGGGTTGCCATATAGCGGCAGCTTAGCCTTCATAAATATCCGTGTGTAAGGAAAAGTGCCAAGCTTGTGGGCTGTTCCAAAGTTTAGCTCAAGCACTTGCAACAGTTCAATTTATGAAATCGAATATGGTATTGTGGTTAATTTCATCTGCATCCAATCTTCATGAAGTTGCCAAAAGAAAGTGACAACTTAAATACATTTTAGTGGAAATATGGTTTATGGCTGTTACATATGATTGTCGAGAACAAAACCAATTACAAAACATTATTTCAATTCTTATAAATAATTGGGTAGAGTTTTCAATAAATAAGCAGGAATTGCTGTCTTCTCATGATAATTACATACCGAATATTCATACTGAAAATAAATTGTAATTCATTCGATCATCTTTAAATTTATATTTAATATATCATTGGCCCGCACAAAAGTAGGCAATAGTATTTAGTGTCTCTATAAAGCTCTCGCTTATGCTTTGGCGAAGTATGTTTAATTAAAGCAATGTGTGCAATAATTACAAGTACTTCAAACACAAAAAGGAAAGAGCAAAGAAGAAAAATAAGAAAAAGCCAACGGCTAAATAAGAGTCACGTAAGCAAATGCACAGCGTGTCATTTTCATAAAAGCCGCTCGCGCCGCTGCCGACACGACTGTCAGTGCTCGATTTTCCTGCTGGGGCTCATACAAATGGCAGAATGGACGAAAATGGAGGGAGAGATGTATATGTGTGTGTGTGTGTGTGTGTGCGTGTGCGCCTGTATTAAAAGAATTGCAGCGAAATTAAAATAAAATAAAATTTACGTTGAATTAAAAACACGCAAGCAAATGAAACAGCGGCAAAGGAAACAACACAAAACAGCGAAACAAATAACTGGTTCTGCGGGACGAGTCGACGAGTCGACGAGCTGGCGACTCGGCGAGTCGTGACTTCATTTGCTTGACACTTCTCCGGAGCAAAGAAAAGTGACAGCGGCCATCGCCAGTAAAGGACGTCAACGATGGCAGCGCTGCTGCCGCCGCTGCTGCTGCCGCCGCGGATGCTGCTGCTGTGGCGTCAAGTGTGTGCCATAAAAAAAGGAAGGGCGCAAAAGCAAAGGCTGCAAACGATTCCTAATTGAAAACTATTAAATTCTGTCTTTTTTTTCTCGCGCGCGCTGCTACTTAATTATACCCTACAACAAACAATAGAAGAGTGTAATGATTTAGTGCCAATTTATGTAACCGGTAGTGGGAGTGGGCACCTTCGAGCCGTTAATTCATAATACTCCATTTCCGAATCGATCGAGCCGGGTCCGGGTACGGGTGTCTGTCCGTCCGTCTTTTGTTAGCCAATTAGCCGCATTTCCTCGATATCGAAGTTAGCTTGAAAGCTTGTCCGTGGTGTGTACAGGGTATCTGCCAGTCGCCCGCTACCGGCTGGAATACACTTATTTTTTCTTTGCGCTGGCCTTCACCCACGCTTCTCTCTCTCTCTCTCTCGCCCAGTGTCTCTTCCGCTGCTGTCGTTCGTTCTTTGGTCCAAATTGGAACTTGAATTTCATTTCGAATGACATTCGCTCCATCACGCGTCAACTGCAGCCAACGTTGGCAGAGCACGTAGCGACAGCGGCAAAGGCAAAAAAATATATATATTTAAAAAAATGGCAGAAAAAAAAAGCGGACATTTTCATTTGAGCATATTTAATTAGATGCAATTATTTATGGTATTAAATAGATGAGGCAGTAAATGTGCTGTACACTTGCGTTGTCTCCACACTTCTCTCTTCCGCCCTCTCTCTCGCTCTCGCTCACTCACTCACTTCTCAGCTCTATAAAATGCAAAATAAGATAGAAAAAAAAATGAAAAAATTGAAATAAAATGCTAAAGAATTGCGTCGTCTTTGCCGTCGTTGGTCGGTCTGTTGTTAAAAAAGAAAATTTCAATTCCTGGCACAATTTCTGCAGCAATGCCACGCCCACGCCCACACCAACGCGCTGCGCATCATTTACCAACACAACCATAACAATGAGCCGGTAACGGGAATGGGTGGGCATTGGGCATTGGGCGTTGGGCGTTGGGCGTTGGGAGCGAGCAAATGGAATCCTGTCGCTGGGCACTTGGCCGAAGGAGTGCATTTAAATGGCAGGAAATTTGAAAAAAATTGAAATTTAAGTCTTTGATATATTGAAGTCGATTTATTTGCCGCCTTTTTGCCACACCCAAGTGTTAGTCATTTCTTTAAACTTTGACCAATTTCTTTCTTTTTGCATACCACTTGGCTCCATTGTCTGATAAGGCCAGCACGGCAAATGGCGTGCACCGAATGAATGGAACGCTGGCCAAGACCGTAGATCTGCAACGTTTGATCTTGTTGAATAAGGATATAAATGAATACTGGCATTTCCTACTGTTTCTAGTTTCGATTATGGTCGAAGCAACCAATAATTATCGATATTGATTCACTACGAAATTTAATCAAGTGGACTTACATTCAAAAAGGGTAAATAAGTTGATTGAAGCAATAATATTCTCTCTTCTATTTAAAATGTTTGAATTTACGATTATTTTCAGAACTCAAGACTTATTACCATCATAATGTTTCATTTCCAATACGTTTCCATATTTTTAACTGCATACTTTTAGGCGCGATGTGAATGATAAGTGTTTTGGTTAATCCATTATCGAATAAACTGAATCGATAAACAATTATTTCTACTGGCACGTTATTTGAATATATTTGTTAACAAATGCACGTAAACATAATCGACTAATAGATACCCTTAACCTTATTTTGTTCGAGCGATATTTGCGGCTTATCAACTATATATCTTACACATCTTGAGTGGCTTTGTTAGTGGTGGTAGGCAAAAGATGGAATCAGTTTGGTGCAATGGATAGCTGAAACGGATAATGCCGAGTGATAAATGGTATTCCAAGGCACAAGGCCTACTCGTGCGCTGGAGATGAAGAACGGAGGCCAATAAACCGCAGTTAATAGCGCGTGACCATGGCATGCCAGTCAACCCTTTCGCACCTTGTCCGGCAAGACAAATCACACACAAATTGACAAACGTTTAACATAATTTACACGGCAAAGCCAAACGACTTACGCTTGACCACACCAGTCCACCAGAGAGTATGGCATTCGTGTTCGGGTCGTGAACGTGTTTTCATGTCCCAGTATTGACCCTTTCGACCCGGTCAAACCCTTGTCAACGTTGCGTAGCCGAAACTATTAAAAATATCAACAGACACTTGAGGAAAGTTGAAAAGGAGAAAAAAAAACCCAGAACCGAAACCCA